CCTCCCTAACTTATCACCAGTTTATTTAATGCACCCCCCTTGCGTCATCTCTTTTGGCTGTGATGCACGAAAGTGCAAAACGGCCATTCTCCGGAGCATTATCTCAGTCTGTTGAGATTTTGCTTCCTGGCAATTGTTGATAGTTTGGCTCAAATAAGCTCACAAAAATTGTTCACAGGGTTGATGCTGACATAAGTTTGATGGTAAACAGGATGTTTTTGCAACTTTTCTCTAAGCCTGAAATTACTTCAAAACAAAATGCTTTTTTTTTTTTAAACACAGGTTTTTCTGATTCAGTTTCAGCCAGGGCTGCTAACTGCACCCACATTCTAAAATAAGATGCTAGACTCTCTAACGAGGTTCTTTCAGCAGAGGTGGTTAAGAACTACTTTAGAAACTTAGGAGACCACACAGCTCCTGCCCGCGGCAGATGGCAGGTGCATGAGAGATGCCAGAGGGAGCCGCTGGAAGGCGGCCAGGCTTTCTCTAGAAGCAGCCTTGGGGGTGCCTGGGGGTGCTGTGGCGCTTTACTTCCCCTGCCTTAAGGAGGGAGGTGCCTCCCCCCCGCAGGCTGAGTGAGAGGGGTTTCCAGGAGGCCATTTGTGGAACTTGACCTGTGTGTCCTGGATTCTGGGGGGCTCACAGGCTGGGGTAACCCAGTCTGGGGAAAGCCTGCAGGCAGGTGCTGGCCTGGTAAAAGAGATACTCCACGAAAGTGCTTGGAGCAGACTCTCTGGCAGCAGAGCCGGGGTTCAAGGGGCCCGGGGGGATGATTAACAGAGTGCTGGTTCTGTGTGATTCCTACTTCAAGCTGTGGGATGACAGCCACAGGAGCCAGAAGGACGTTTGCATGGAAGAGTGGGGTTCCTGGAGGAGGCTGGTTAGAGCTATAATTATTTCCAATTTAGAAATGGGGAAACTGAGGTTCAAGGAGGGTGAGTGACGTTCCCAAGACACCAAGCTAGCAAGCCACAAAGTCCGGGCTGGCATCCTTGTCTGGGAGCCTTTGTCTGTTAACCACCTCTGTCTTGGCTTACTTTCAAGTCCAGTTCAGAGGCACCTGCTCTTCCCAGAAGGGGACAGCAGGGGACAGTGTAACCAGCAGGCGGTTGAGGTTTGGCCCCCCTCCAGGATAGCCACTGACCCAGAAAGCACCTCAGGGGTGGCCGCCTTTTCCTCTGAACCCAGAAGGCAGCAAACAGCGGTGAGGAGTGCCAGTCTGGGTCTCAAACAGGGCTGCCTGGGATTCTGGGTTTTGTCAAAGCCTCTCGCACCCATCTACCCAAACGGAAGCAGCCCCCTCTAGACCAGAGACCACCCCTGACGTCTCTCTTCATCTCTGTGTTTCAGTGTCTGGCACATAGTTGTCGCTCGACAATCAGTGATGGTACCGAATGATGGCTGGTGGGAGAAAGGAGTCAGGAGTCCTTTTCCAGCGGCGGGTGTACCCCACCCCCCAATCTCCACCACCCAAACATGGCTTCTTCCAGACAAAACCCAGCCACAGGCAAAGATGTGGTGGCATCTATCAGCTCTATTTAAGGGCCTCGGGTCCTGCTACCTGGTTCTTAGCTGTGGCCCTCATCAGTGGGGTTGTTGCTTCTGGTGGGAACATTTTAGATACTGATGTCCAGGAATTGGTGAGGGCCTCTGAGGAAGGAGGGGGCGTGAGAGCTTCCCCCTCTACTTTGGAACCAAAGGTGCTGGATCAGCCTCCACTGACACCTCCAGGATCGCAATCCACAGGGCAGCTCCTGTGGTAGGATGGCAATGAGCCCTGGCACTGGGCTCAGCCTCAAGATGATCTAAGTGGCAAATCTGACCAGGTCACTCCCTGCCTACAACACTTAAGTTGATTAAAAAAAAAGCATTTCCTGCTTTGGTTTTGTTGTAGCTAACAATGGCTGAGGCCTCACTGAGTGCCAGGAGTGCAGCTGATCTTTCAAGACCAGTTCGTACCCCACTTCATTCATTCATTCGTTCATCCACTCATTCAATATACTGAAACCAGGGACTGTGCCAGGTGTTTTACAGACATTATATAATTTAATCTTCACAACAATGCTCTGGGACTACTATAATCCCCAGTTTCCAAAAGAGAAAACTGAGGTTCAGAGAGGAAATTGCTCTAAAACATACTGGTGAGTCCTTGGGAATAAGACTCTAGCAGCTGTGACCTAGTCCCTGCCAAGATGAAAGGCTTTACGGAGCAAAAAGAGCCTTGGATGGTAACAGAACCTTCCCCCAGCACAGGGTCAGGCTGCCCAGTGTGTGGGGCCTGTGTGTGTGACACTGGGATCAATGAGGGGGACCTCAGACCACTCCGCCTTAATTGAAGACCAGGACAGAAACATGGAGAAGAGGAAGTTAAGGATAGCTTCCCCTTAAGCCCTGTGCCTCCCTGGTCCCAGATGGCCTGAGGAGCTGCCCCTCTTCTCCCATCCTGCAGTACCCACGATGTCAGTCCCACCGCCAAATTAGCTGGCTCAGAAGGGGACCGACACAACCAATCCCTCCTCACTCTCCCGAATTACAGATGGGAAAACTGAGACCTCTCGCCATACCTCATCCTACAAAAGTCAGGATGAAAACCCAGTTCTCCAGACTTTGATCCAGTGCCCTAGCCACTTTCCCCCCACTAGAAATCCTCCCCAGGGAGTGCTGACAATCCAAGGGAGGGAAGCAGGAGAAGGGCCCTGGTGGTGGAAATGCACTTGGAACCCACGTGGGTTCATGCCAGCCTGCCACTCGCCAGCCCTGGGTCAGGAAGGTCACGTCAGCTGCGTCCTCATCTGTACAATGGGTACAGTAACAGCAGCCTTGCAGGGCTGCTGAGAGCCTCATGAATAACATAGATACGTGAAGCATCTGGAATACAGTGGGTGCTCAGTCAACTTTAAACTCAACTACGTTGCCTTCAAAAAACATGTGGGGAAAGACCCCCCCCCCCCACGAAGGGCAGAATGAAATCATATTAAAGAATATTAGAAGACAGATACAGGTAAGGGCTATGGAATTCTGGGAAGGAAACGTTTCTTCCCGCATTTATCAGCTGTTTGATAATCCAGCCTGGACAAAGGGAAATCAATAATGTGGAGGACAAATGGGAGGGTTGATGATTTGGGGTATCACTCACTATTTTCCCAGAGACCCCGAACTTGACGTTTCCCAAACACAGTCATTTGGCCACGAGGCTTCTTCACGAGACCCGTCTGTGGGCCTCCCAGGGAAGGCAAAGGGGGGCAGGGCGGGGCAGGACGGCTGCAGGCGTCGGGGACCCTCGCCCGGGCCCGGCTCC